GGGTGAGGTCTGGCTTATTTTTCAAAATAAGATCATATCTTTTCGAAGACACAGTTTATTAAAATAAAGTCAATTACAGTTAATCGGAATAGGCCACCAACACTGAATTCCAGTTAACTGTGTTCATTGGGGCCACCCTGCTGCGTGGGGGAGGGAATGGCTGTGCCCAGGTCTCCCCGGGTGTAAACGCACAGGCAGGACGAAGGGCTAATTATAAACCACGGAAAAGTCACGTGGCAGTCAAGCCACCCGGTAGCTTCTCAGTCGCTCGGTGAGTGATGCTCCTGACAGTGAGCTCCGTGCAAATGATGGATTTTTTAATAAACCCGCTAAGGTGGGTGCAGCTGCTGGATCGGGAAGCTCACATGATTGTGTGTAATGAGCTTTTTTTGTTGCTGTTAATCCCCACCCAAGGATATTTTTCCATTGCTTTTTAGAGAGTGGAAGGGAGGGAAGGGGAGGGGGGAGAGAGAGAGAGAGACATTCATGTGAGAGAGACATTGATTGGCTGCCAGGGGTCAAACCTGCAACCCAGGTATGTGCCCTTTACGGGGAATTTAACCCGATGCTCTAACCACTGAGAACACTGGCCAGGTGTACCCTGGGAATCCTGTGGAATCCAGGAAACGTGGCTGCGTGTTGCGCCACGCGTGCATCCGTGGCCTGCGCTGTGGTTCCCGACACACGACCACCCACGGCTCGTGCCTTCGTTGATGTCGCGTTTCTCCCCAGCCTCCCCGCAGAAGCTCGTGGCAGGAACATGGTGTAAAGAAAGTCTGGCTTCCCCAGTCTCCTCCCTTATTTCCTGGGGAGGGGGTCCATTGCTGCTGCTTCAGCCGAGCTCGTTTTTCCTTCATGGTGAGAGCACAGTATCCCCAAACGCACCACCCCGGTGATACTACATCAGTTTCATACAAAGATTTACCGGGCTTCCCATTGAGATCACTCTGCCGTCGCCGAGAAACTTGGTGATATTCGTGGCGTTGTCAGAGAGCCACTGTAGCTGCCGATGTCATTTCTCTAAAAACACCAACGGAGCACAGGCGTGGGCAGGAGGAGTGTGGATGGACCACGATGCACCGAGGGGCGTGCGGGGTGGGGGGTCCTTACCTCTTCGCCGGTTTTGTTGTTAATTCTTAACCGAGGATATTTTCTCCGTTAGTTTTTAGAGAGAGTGAGAGGGAGGGAGGGAGAGGTTGAGGGGGGGAGAGAGAGAGAGAGAGACAGTGATGAAAGAGACACATCGATTGGTTGCCTCCCGCATGCGCCCCGACCAGGGCGAACCTGCAACCCAGCTGCGTGGCCTTGACTGGGAATTGTACCCGAGACCCTTTGGTGCGGACGCTCTAACCGCAGAGCCACACCGGCCAGGGCCGTTGAAGGAGTTCTAACGGGCGACGATGCACAGCCGCGCCGTCTCCCCGCCTCTCGGAGAGGGTAGAGCAGACCCCGGCCCCCGGCCCCCGGCCCTGAAGGGCCTCCTGCGGTCGAGCCCTTTTGGGAGACGGGCTCAACCACTTCTGCTTTGTAAACTGATTAGGATGGTTAATAAAGGACAGATTATATATATATTTTAATTTTTAATTTTTATTTCTATTGATTTCAGAGAGAGGAAAGGAGAGGGAGAGAGATAGAAACATCAATGATGAGAGAGTCATTGATCGAGCCCACAACCCGGGCATGTGCCCTGACCGGGAATCGAACCCTGATCGCCTGGATCCTAGGTCGACGCTCAACCGCTGAGCCAGCCCGGCCGGGCAGGACAGATTATATTTCTGATACGAGCTCTCTGTGTAACGGCAGCCTAATGGGCGTAAGCCTGGGGCACCTTAGCAGTCGCCCCGTTTTTCTTAGAGCCGTTTTCCTCCCTCAGCTGCCAAACTGGCACATTTTTGTTAAGTCTGTTTATCGGCTGAAGTTTTGAAATGAAATGATGCCCTAGATAAAATATCGCATTTTACCCAGAAGTTTCCAGTGAGGCCGGGTGGGTTATTTCCACCTCTCTCAGCTTTTTGTGTGTGTGACTCTGGGAAATTGGGCCTCAGCAGGCTCTTGGGTTTCGCAGCCGCGGCGGGTGAGTGGGAGGTGGGAGGGGCGCTGGGAGCTCGCCATCCTCTTTGTCGCCGCCGTGTTTGTCGCCGCGAGCTTTGAAGTTGACGGGGAAACCCCACGCACCGGGCGCCATAACCGCCGCCTGCCTTTGTTTTTTCCAGTCTTCAAAACGGCCGTGGTCCTTGTGTATAAAGAGGGCTCCAAACAGAAGAAGAAACTTGTAAGAAACCTGTGTTTCCCCCGCTAGCTGGAGGGTTTTTGCTTCCTTTCTGCTTCTCGGTTCTATCTGGGTAGCTGTAATTCTGCCCCTTTGTCAGGCCTGAGCCTTCTGTGATTTGCTAATTTTTTCTCTTTCTCTGTTTTTATTTAACGTTGCTGAGGACTCAGGACACTGCCCATCCTGCCCCCTTTCAGGCCGGCCCACGGCGAGAGTGTGGCCGTGACGGCCGCCGGGCCCGCGGTGCCACTGTTTCCCCGTTTCCCGGCCTTCCCCGGCCCTCTGTGCCTGTTGTGGGGCCCCCTTCCCCCTCTTTCCCGTGTCTCCCTCGCCTGGATTTGGCTAGCAGGCGTCCTGGCACCCTCAGCGTTTTTATCACGGGGCCTCTTGCTTTCTGCTGGACAAGAACATGCGTGTGGGCTCGATGTGGGGGTCAGTGTTTAGAGAACGTGGGTCCGGTCCAGGCGAGAGCGACCGTTCTCACACACCCGCCTCCTGCCCTCCTGCAGGTGGGATCTCACAGGCTGTCCATCTACGAGGAGTGGGACCCCTTCCGGTTTCGGCACATGATCCCCACGGAAGCGCTGCAGGTTCGCACCTTGGCCACTGCAGGTGAGAACTCCGCGTGCCGGGCCGGCTTCCCACGCGTCCACGTCCACGCTCCCGGTCTCGCCACCGTTTCTGTGCTTAACTGACTCTCTTTTCCCTCAGTCTCTCCATTGCCTCTTGTTCACCCTGCATTGATTAACTATGCAGGTGAGGGACCGAGCGGATGAGGGAACGAATGGGTGTGTAATGCCTCCCGCATCGTTCCGAGGAATCCTGGTCCCTCTGTTACTTATATCAACATCACAGTGACTGACACCCGAGTAGCATTGAGTCTCCTGGAAAGAATCTGTGAGCCCCACGAGCAGACAGAGAGCCCATGTAAATAACTCACCAAGAAACCCCGAAAGACCCCCAAAGCACGAAAAAGCCGTGGAGTGTGTTTCCCCTGAGGCTATAAACCTTCCTTCGTGTTAGTGTGAGGCTTTGAGGTGTCGGTTCTTCTTCTGTGAGTCAAACAGCACTGCAGGGAGTTGTTGGGCAGCAGTGAACATGCTCGGACGTGGGTGACGCTCTCAGCACCTGAGAGGTGAGCAGCGGCGGGTATTGGCTGTGACTCGGAGCCCCCCACCCAGGGCCGAGTTGGCGGCAGCGGCTCTGGGTGGGGGGCTCCTGGATGCACCTTTGGGGTCAGGCGGAAGCTCTCAGGTGTCCAGCAGTAAAGAGGGGCCGTGGGAGTGGCCTCGGCAGGCGCATGGGGACCGGTGTTTCGGTTTCACGCTTCTGACGTGAGCATTGAGTTCTCAGCGTCCGATGGGTGGCGATTGTCCTCTCCCTGTTCCTACATATTGTCACGTCGTGAGCAGTAAAATTGCTGATCCTCATAAAACCAACGTCCCCCTCGTCCAGTATTTGGTAACCTTCAGTTACTCCCAGAAACTGGACTAGGCGCAGCTTCCTTCGTGGTTGCTCTGCCGTGTGCCGTAGAAACACTCAACTATGAGAACCATGTCGGACAAACGTATTTATTTCCCTTAAGAGGGTTTTTCTCGAGCCGTCCAGCTCACAGATTTACCCTCATTTACTATTCGATTTGTAAAATAGATTTATGCTTTAATTTGCGGGAACCTGTATACATCGTAGGTCTGCAGACAGCTGTAATGATGTATTGAGCTTTGGGCACCTGAATAAAATACTAGCATCGTCTTACTTTCCAGTCTTAGGCTGTGAATTACCTAGTTCGTAGGTTTCCTTGTGCCTGGATGAGTGGAAGGCCTGTGGTTATAGCAGGTCGCAGGATTCTCAGCCGGGTATTTCACTGTCATTGAGAACTAAGTACATACAGACTTTGCATCTTTTTTTTTTAAAAAAAAAACTTTATTGATTTCAGAGAGAGGAAGGGCGAGGGAGGGAGAGAGAGAAACATCAGTGATGAGAGAGTCATTGATCGGCTGCCTCCTACACACCCGACTGGGGATCGAGCCTGCAGCCCGAGCCTGTGCCCTGACCAAGAATCGAACCACCGACCCTTCGGTGCACGTGACAGTGCTCAACCACTAGGCAACACCAGCCGGGCTAAACGCTTTTCTTTTTTGATGGAGTTATGCAGACCAGCCAGCATGCCCCTTGCTGAGAAACACCTTCCAGTGGGTTTGAGAGTCAGAGCGTGAAAGGTGTAGCTTGTTGTCCTGGCTCGAGAGAGCTCGTGGAACGTCCTGCAGGCGCGTCCGGGTGGGGTTAGAGGACGTGGCCCAGTGCGGCTCACAGCTGGGTTCTGAGCCAGGAACACGGACGACACCTCTCAGGTGCGTCCTGATGTTTGCTGTGAGCTGCTCTCCCTACAAACATTTTACCCGTGATTCACGCGATACAGCGTCGTGAGGCTTATAAAATTATAGCCAGGTGCTGCAAGGCTTAGAAATTACCTTAAAATATACTGTTCCCCACCCTCTTGGCACACTGAGTGCCAAGGAAGAGGAGCCTCATGGGTCCCCAGGACTTGCTGCCCACCCAGAGCACGAGGCCTGCTTGCGGGAACGGCCCCCACAGAGGGCGAGGGCCTGGTGAGATCTCCCTCAGAATCCTGGCCTCGGCCTTGTCCAACTGGTGCCAAACAACAGGTCACTTAATTGTAATGGTTCAGCTAAAAGGTGCAGCTAGAAGGTCAGTTTTTCAGCCAGTGAGATAGACCGCGTGTCCTCAGACCATCAGAAGGAGGGTTTCGCGACTGGACATTTTCCAGGTTTCTTTTTCTCAGTGCTCACTGAGCTCTGAGCCTCTGGGTCATGGGCTCGGGATGAAGTCCTTCGTCTTAGCTGCGCTGCTCTGTCTCGTCGGGCACCGAAGCTGGAAAATGCTCCTGTAAAGACGCCAACCAGCCCCTCTGAAACACGCCCTCTCTTGTGCTCTCTAATTCCTCTAGATGCAGAAGCCAACGCGGTGTGCGAGATCGTCCACGTCAAGTCCGAGTCGGAAGGGAGGCCGGAGAGGGTGTTCCACCTGTGCTGCAGGTGGGCCTGGGGCCGGGGGTGCAGCTGTGCTGCTCGGGGGGTGGCAGTGGCTGTGGCTGTGCCTGGCCTCGCCCTCTGGGTTCTCAGACAAGCCTGGGCATTTCTAGGCTCTCTGTGCTATTTCTTATATACCTGAGAAATTAATGAACACATTAACAGTCATTGGGTAAATTGAACTAGTTGTATTAGAATAGAGACAGTAACCTGGTTAATTGAATATCTTTCTAAAAGGAAGTAGGAATTTCCAAATGTGTTCAGTGTCCATATGAGGGCTTCTCCCCGTGGTTGCATGTGGTAGACTGGAAGACCCAGGCGCCTTGCGGTGTTCAGCTTGGGGGTGTGGATACTTTGTTTCTCCCGGGGCAGCTCCGAGCTGTNAGACTGCCTTGTGGTGTTCAGCTTGGGGGTGTGGATACTTTGTTTCTCCGGGGGCAGCTCCGAGCTGCATACTTTGTTTCTCCCGGGGCAGCTCCAGCTGCAGCTGGTGCAGGGGAGCGGGAGGAGGTGAGCATGTGCAGGCATCACATGCAGGAGAGACGTCGGCACAGGGCGGCTGCCGCTCGCCCAGGTCCCCCCGCAGACCGTGAGAAGAATCTGAACTTACCTGTGGCGCCCTCTCCTCTCCAGGGGAATTTGAAGCCTTTTCTCAAATGCAGCCAATTTTCTGTGTCTCTCTCTTATTTTTTTTTTTTGACTAAAATATCCAGATGGAGGGTCGGGTCTCCAGCCACACTCAGATATATTCGGCTTTAACTCTGACCTGTGCTCGGTTGTGCTTTAATGGATTGCAGGTAGTTAGTAGTTTATGCAGGGCTTACCCAGTGTCCCCGACCCCTGCCCGTGGGCGGGAGTATGCTGTGGGTTGCCCACAAAAAAACAGCTGAATCAGTGTTGTGACCATTATTAGCAATACTTTGTAATGTTACCGTGAGTGTAGTGAGAAGGTGACTTACAGGCGTGAACTGTGCTGAGCACACGCAAGCCTTGTTTCCGTCTCGTTTCACAGGTGGCAACAAGGCTTAGAGGGCATTTGCCCAAACCTTAGGGCAGGTGACCCCCGAGTTTCAGACTCACGTGGGCTTGGACTCAGCTCGTGTGTTGTGTCTCTACGTCACCGCTCCACGTCGGGTGACAGGGGTTGACAAAGCGCCATCCCAGGAAGCTGTTGGGACTAGAACTGAAGTTTTCCCCACATGGTCCTCACGGGGTGTGTGCAGCGTCTTTACCACGTGCTTAGGCCAGTCCACTTGAGGTTTTGTTGGTAAAGACCGTGGGGCCCAGTGAGGGGGCCCCGAGACAGGCCATGTCCTTTATTGATAAGAAAAACCAGGTGAAACTTACCTGGGTAAATATATGGAGACTAACAAGAAACCGGACTCTTACCTGGGAGTATTTCTCACTCTGGGAACTAGGACTTGGGATGGGTTTTTTTTAAACACAATTCTTTTTTTTTAAAAAAAATATGTTTTTATTGATTTTAGAGAGAGAGAGAGGAAGGGAAAGGCAGAAAGAGAAACATCATCGATCGGCTGCACGCCCCCTACTGGGGATCAAGCCCTAAACTCAGGCATGTGTCCTGACCGGGAATCACACCCATGACCTCTTGGTTTCTGGGTTGATGCTCGACCACTGAGCAACACCAGCCAGGCTGGTCCCCTGGTTTTGTTTGATGGCTCCTGATAACCTTGGCAGTCCCCGTGTGTGGAGCACTGTTTCCCCAACATGTGTACCCCTCTCCCCACAGCTCCCCCAAGAGCCGGAAGGATTTCCTGAAGGCCGTGCACTCGATTCTCCGCGACAAGCACAGAAGGCAGCTCCTCAAGACCGAGAGCCTGCCCTCGTCCCAGCAATATGTCCCTTTCGGAGGGAAGCGACTGTGTGCGCTGAAGGGGGCCCGGCCGGCCATGAGCAGGGCAGGTACTGTGGACATCCAGACCTTCCGGATCCCCGTCACCCCCACGCCACTGTAGAGCCCAAGGGAGCTGCGTCCTGTTGGCGAGACTGAGCCGTGGCCTGTGGGGCTAACACCGCAGTGCGGTTTCCCAAGCGTGAGGTCCTCACCCTGCCAGTGGCTCCCAGGGGACTGGCCCTGTGTTTGCTCCTCTTGTGCCCCTCGAGCTTTTCCTCTGCACCTGATCCTGGCCGGTGGGCTCCTCTCTCATCCACAGGCCGGGAGCTGAGCGTGTCCTCCGTGGAGGCATCTCAGCGGCCTGCGGAGTGAGAGTTGCTGCTTTGCATGACCGCCTGCTTTGTCGAGCAGGACGTGTGTCACGTCTCAGCAGGGCCACGGCCACCCTTCTGAGAACGTGGCGGCTTTGTGGCCAGAACGTGGCAGCTTTGTGGCCAGAACGTGGCACTGCCTGTTCTCAGTAAGGAGGCCGCGTGCATGCGGTAGATCAGATGGCCTGTCACATGTCTCCCCCTGCCTTGCGCCTGCAGCTGTATTGTTAGCTCCAGTGTTAATTCAGGCGCCTTTAGCTGCTGCTGGAAAGCAGGGAGGTAGAGTTTAAGTGGCCCCAGAGTACATAGCCCTTTAGGACTGGAGTTACCGCTGTGGGGCCGTGAGAGAGGAAGGTAGATACAACCGGACCACCTGTAAAAGGCAGGTGGGAACATACGCTGAGGAGAGAGGATCTTTTCCTCACACACAGGCGTTTCTGCCATCAGGGTGTTCACACTCGGTCACCTTTTTCTTCAGAGGCAGCCTAGTATTTTTCAGGGAAGAGTCCAATAAAAGAGGCTTCCTCTGCGTTTGACAAAAAAGTGTCGACCTTTGTCCCGCTCGCCTGCCTGTCCTCCGCTGTGTGGAAGGGGCCCGGCCAGAACTGTTGAGTGGGGAAGGTGCTCATGGACGTAACCTACGTGGCTGCATGTGGGGTGTCACATTCTTCAAGCACCTTAACTTTAACCCATGTCAGGGGCTAGTGATCTTGACTCTGCTCTCCAATCAGTACGTGTTGATTGAAAACCTACCGCGGTGAACGCTCAGCGCCCTGCGAGGTCCCCCACGGCTCCCTCAGCACTGTGGGCACCTCCAATCCACAGTTTCTCACAGGTCCCTGTGTAAAAGCCTCGCTGGCCCCACCGTGAACTTTTCCTTGGCATTGTCTCCCCTGCTCTCGCACTTGCTAGGGAATGTTTCGTTAGCATCAGGGATAATGTCTCCCAACCTCAGGAAACCCCACCCGTCATTGGCCGACTCAGTTGTTGACCAGTGATCCTAAGTTTACCTAGAAAGTGGGCACTTTGAGTCTGTGGGACTCTCGAGAGCTCCTTTTGAGATCCCCGTGGAAAGAAAACCAGCCCACATCCTACACCCTCATCATCACCAAGAGCAGGCCTGACGCAGAGCCTGTTGCGCTGGCTGACGGGAAGATCTCTCTCCCCTGTGGCTCATTTGTGGCTGAAGAACGCCCGTGTCATTCTGTGTTGGACGCTCCTCGCCGCGGTCAGGATCTTCACGTTGGCTGATTTTGAAATGGCGCTTGAGGGGTCAGCAGGGCCCCCGGCCGCTCAGCCTTAGCAGTGAACACGGGAAATGCCCAACCAGGCGCCTCCCTGCTCCCCGTAGGGCTGCGGGTTGTCAGGTGTCCTTTTAATTAAGGAGAGAGACCCATGAGTACAGCAGTGATCCCAACTCAATAATTATAGCTCTAAGCATAGTCGGAAAGGCCTGCGTGTCTGCCAGTGACCCAATTAGAAATGCCCTTTCCTTCCAATATGTTCTTACGAAAACTTCCAGAGCAGCTGAAGGAACCGCACACGTCCACACTCAGAATCCATTGTTGGCATCGGGCTGTGTTTTCTTTAGCACACGTCTATCCGTCTGTCCCCCATCCACTCATCTTATTTTTGACACATTTCGTAAATGCAGACATTGGCACACTTCACCCCTGAGCGCTGGGCACGCGGATCATCGACGGCACCTCCGGGAGCCCCGTTGGCGCCGAGGCGCCTCCAGGGTGGCGTCTGGAGGGAGCCGGGCTGCCCCCTGCTGGTGGTGACGCGGCGCGGCAGGAATTGCTGTGTCTTCCCGTTGGAGGGGCGGCAGGTGTTTCTTTCCATTTTCCCGGGAAATGTTTTCCTTCCCCTCCTTGGCCTCTGCTCCACGTTTAAGAGGCCAGGACGCTCGGGAAGGTGCTGGAAACCGCCACCCGCTTGTCCCGGGCACAGCAGCCTCGTCTCGCCAGGAGGGGGCAGCCGCGTCCCCGTGTCCGCGTCTCGTGCGGATGTGTGTGCGGTGATTGTGCCTTTGCCGATTGGTTGAGTGGCGTCTTCTGTCTGTCTGTTTTCGATCTTCCAGCTTCCTCAGAATGAACTCAGGGATGTGTCCGTCCTGCGTGTCACTCTGTCAGCACTCTGTCCATCAGCTGCCCGGGTGTCCTGTTATTTACTTCTCACGCTTGGGCACCGGTATTTTAATTGCTTTGTAAATGGGAAACCACTGGACAATAGGGCATTGTCGGGGGGCCTGCGGGGCACATTTCCTAATCCACACAGTGCACGCGGTTCGTCAGAGAGGACGGGACTCACCGAGGCTCCCACCTCTGGTCCCCTGCTCCCCGCAGGCTCTCTAAGAGGGACTCGTGCCTTCGATCCGACTGCGAGTCCTTGAGGAGCAGTGCACTGAGCTCCCCACAGGGCAAGACAATGGGGACCAGCCCCGGGAAGCCCCCCAGCCCCGGGCCTTGGGCCCGGGCGTTGGTCAGGGCTGGGGCTCTGCCTAATCCCAGTCCAGTGGCCTGCGTGAGCCCAGCAGGCACCCGCGTCACCCATCCGCAGGTGCACAGGTAGAGAGAAAACCCCAACCCCCATAGCCTGCAGCCCCCTGTCGCTCTGGGTCCCTCTCCCTTCCGTCAGTTGCTGTGACGCCCTCCAAGGCCAGGCGTCTGTGAGGTAGAGACTCCAGGACAGACTGTGACGTCTGCACTTTAAGGCCCCCAGGGACATCGAGGCACGAAACGCGTACCGGTTAGTCTGTCTGCTGTTTGCTCTCTGGAGTTTCCTCTCATGTAAAGCACGCGGGGTTTGTTTTTATATCTTTGTGTGTGTGCGCAGTGTCCGCCCCAAGCAAGTCTCTTGGCAGAAGGAGGCGGCGACTGGCCCGAAACAGGTTCACCATCGATTCCGACGCTGTGTCCGCCAGCAGCCCCGAGAGAGAGTCCCAGCAGCCCCCTGGTGCCGGGGACACTGACCGGTGGGTGGAGGAACAGTTCGACCTGGCTCAATACGAGGAGCAGGACATCAAGGAGACGGACATTCTCAGCGATGAGGACGAGGTCTGTGAGGCCGCGAGGGGCTCCGATGGGGACGGAGACCTGCCCGAGCGGCTCCGGGCGGCCTCCCTCGGCCCGCGGGAGAGGGGCCGCAGGAGCCTGGACAGTCACGCGTCCCGCATGACGCAGCTCAGGAAGCAGGCGGCGCTGTCGGGGGGCAGCGGAGGCCCCGAGCACGCGGGCGAGGAAGTCGTCTGGGTCAGGCGGGAAGACTTCGCCCCGTCCAGGAAACTGAACACGGAGATCTGACTTGGCCCTGTGTAGATAACCGTCCCCGCCCTGCCCCTTCCTGTCCCCACCTGTCCCCCGAGGACCAGGGGGTCCCCTAGGGGACACTGTTGCACACACGGTCCTGGCGGCTCACTGCTCGGGAGCCACGTGCCACCCAGCGCGTCATTCTAACGCCATCGGACAGGGTCGTTGAGAACCTCAAGGAAGCTCGAGCCCCGCCTTCTGCGCGTGACTAAGGGCTTTTATCGACTCAGTTGGGGCCAGAAGAGTAAAGAAAAGGTTCCCTAACCCTGGAAATCAGACCCGGGGGCTGAGTGTGAACAGCAGGTCAGCCGAGGGGGTGGCACCAAGTCGCAGAACAAAGCTCGCTGTCTGACCTCGCCGCAGCGCCTCCTGCTGGGGAGACTCGGAGCTTGACCAGGCCGGTGTGTAGCCAGCGAACCTGCCCTTCCCTCCTCGCTGTCGAACGTCTGTGTCCCAAGGGCGTGTGCGGGACCGCGCTCCTTTGTGTCTCGATGGGCCTTTTTGTCTCCTCCGTTTTGGTCTGTGGCTGGTCTTATGCCGTGTCCGTGTTTGGAAGTTCTAGTTTTGCATAGTATTATAAAGATGCCAAACTCTTTGAAAAGAGAGCCAAGCTTATCACTTGAAAAAGAAAAAAAAAAAAAAAAGACTATTTTTTGTATTTTACCTGAGAGGCAGGGGCACAAACAGATGAGAAAATTTTACAGTGTTGGAGTAACTCTGAGTCTAGAAACGAGGGTTTTCCCTTTTGCAGAGAGCGCGAGGGTGGCGATTTTATATTTATATTTGAAAGGCCGACGAGGTGCTCACGCTGAGGGGAGACTTTTTCCCCAAGAAGATTTTGCTTGTGTGTGTGTTTGGTGGAGCCTCTGTTTGAGATGGGCGCTTGGTTGAGTTGAATGGGACACCTGCGGGGGGCGGGTATCTGCCACCCGTGGGGGGCGGGGAGACTCCTCGGGGTTGCCGTGGTGATCGTGGGTTTCCGTCCAAGTTGCATCTTCACCTGTAGGTTGCCTCCCCTCCCTGACCGTCCACAACCAACCTCTTAACAAAACACATGTGTTTCACACTCTTCTCATGCCAATGAAACAGGGTAAAAACATGCTAAAAGCCTAACATTCTAAACAGATTTCCACGTAGGGAGACCACAAACAAGTTAAAGCACTTTCAATTTTTTTTTAAAAGGTTTATAGCTTTTTTCCCCCCCATTTCGCAATGTCCACTTCCTAAGAAAGGTTTAAATAATATGAAAGCTTTCTTTTTTGGGGAAAAATATCTATTTGGTGTTTGACACATCAGTAGGTACTTTAAAGGCCTGAATTTTATAGTAGCCTTAGGAGTATATTTTATACAAATCAGTGGTGACTTTATATTTGCAGACGTAGAGAGCTCGGGACCTCGCTCGGTGCCCCCGCTTGCTTCCTGCCCCCGCCCTCCTCTCGGTTCCCAGGGCTTTGAGCTTGATCTTTGGAAACTTTTATCCTATCGAATTTTTGCTATATCTTCTGATTTTCTGAAAACGCTTTAGAATGGTTTCTATCCTCCTTGTGTCTCCACACTGTCCATGCCACCTCGGGTTCGGTGTGTCCGATGGAAACGGGAGCCCAGGCTTCTGGCCACCACGTCCCGGCCCCGGGCAGCAGGTCCGCTGGAAGCTGGGGAGAGGAGCTCGCAGAGGGCGCCGCGTCGATTGTACATACATCATGACCTGTCCATGTCCAAAGTTCTTATATATTTCTTTTATAAGCTGAAAGAAGGTCTATTTTTATGTTTTTAGGGTCTATGAATGGAATGTTGTAAATGCCTGTCAAACAATAAAACTATCAGAAAGTGTCTGGACAGTCTTGTGCCTTTTTGTTGTTGTTAATCTACATTCGGGGATTTTTTTCCCATTGATTTTCAGAGAGAGTAGAAGGGAAGGAGGGAGGAGGAGAGAGACATCGATGTGAGAGAGACACATTGATTGGTTGCCTCCTGCACACGCCCCGACTGGGGCTGGGCATTGAACCTGCAACCCAGTTATGTGCCCTTGACCAGGAATCGAACCTATGACCCTTCGGCTCTTGGGCCAACGTGCTAACCATTGAGCACACCAGCCAGGGCAGTCCTCTGCCCTTTTTTTTTTTTTTAATATGTCTTTATTGATTTCAGAGAGAGGAAAGGAGAGGGAGAGAGAGAAACATCAATGATGAGAGAATCATTGATCAACTGCCTCCCGCACGCCCCCGACTGGGGATCAAGCCCACAACCCGGGCATCGAACCACCATCTCCTGGATCCTAGGTCGACACTCAACCGCTGAACCACGCCAGCTGGGCCCCTGTGCCTTTTTGGATGGATAGAAACCGTTAGCAGGACAGAATATATGGGAGATTCCTGGGAAGACTGCTCTTTTCCCCTAAATAACCACGATTATCAAGGGAAAGCTGAGTTGGTAGAGCGTGAAGTTTTTAAAGAATTAAATTTTTTACTGAGGCATAGCTGAAATATCAGTGTCGGGTGTGCAACATAATGATATTTGTACACATTTGCAAAATGATCCCCGCAGTAGTCAGCATCGGTCACCACAGTCATACAGTAGAACTTTTTTCTTGTGATGAGAACACTTAAGGCCTAGCCCCTTGCTACTTTCAGATACAGTGTTATTAATGGACTATGGAAGTGATCCCTGAAAGTATAGTCTTAGATACAATGTTACTAAATATAACCACTTCCCCGGGGGCTCATTCATTTTACAGCTGGAAGTTTGGCCTTAGCGCCCCCTTCACCCACTTTATAACCTCCTTACCCCCCGCCAGCCAGGCAACTGCCAATCTGTTCTCTTGCCATGAGCTCAGATTTGTTTTTTTAATTCCAAGTATCGAATCATTTGGTATTTATCTTTTTCTGTAAGTAGAGCTGGGCGTTTTAACAACCCCAGTATCCCCCCCAAAAAAGGTCTTGAAGTTGCTCAGCATCTCGGTCTACTGATTGGAGAAGAGAAAGCGGCACAGGTGTGGGTTGGTTCCCGTACAGAGCGCGGTTTCCAGCCTCCTGCCCCCTCCGGGGAGCAGGCCCAGGGGAGCCCGAGAGGACGGCCTGAGGTGCAGAGCGCGGGCTGGCCTGCAGGGGGCGCTCTGCCTCCACACGTGGTCCCTGGGGTCCCACCTCCTGCAGGGTCCACAGCATGATGCAGGAGAGGTAGGTGCCGTCCTTCCCACCCTCCCTTCCTCAGTCCCTTACAGGCCTTACACGGTCCGAGTTTATTCCGCCCACACCTGCCCCAGGTGAGCAGGCTCCCCTTTCCGCTTCCCCAGCAAGCCGGTGAGCTCTGGCTGCTGTTGGCAATTCGCTCCTTTGTGGTTCATGGACTGACAGCAGTGGTATCAGATTCCTGGGGCTTGTTAGAAATTCAGGCCTGCCCCCCATCTCTCTCTCTCTCTCTCTCTCTCACACACACACNCTCTCTCTCACACACATTCTCTGAACCAGGACCTGCGTTTTTGCCAAATCCCGTGACCCATGTGCAGGCTCAAGTTCGGGAAGCACTGCTCCGGCGTCTCCAAACGCCCTGACGTTGAGGAATGATCTGGATGGAAAACACCTTTTTACTTTAAGGATGTTCAGGCTCCGCTAGGTACCCTTTTGGGGGTGACTGGAGCCAGTTTCCACTTGGTGAGATTACTCCAACAGCTTGCGCTCGGCGCGAGACTGGGCAGCTTGGGCTCCTCTCCTGCCGGGGGCTGAGCCGGCCAGTGGAGGACTCGGTGCTCAGCGCGGTCGGGTGTGCAGAAGTAACGCGACGCCCGTTTCACCCCGACTTCATTTCCTCTCCAGGCTCCTGTCCCACCAGGCTGGCAGGAAACATCTGTCCGCCCCTCTGCCCTTGGTTGTCATGGTTTGGGGGCGTTTGCGGCAGGTCCTCCCTCTGGTCTTGGAGTCCACGTACCTGCAGAGGTTCCTGCAGCCTTGACCGCCTCGTCCACAGCCCCTTATTTATAAAATGTGTGGGATCTGAATTGCTGCCTCAGTTGCCCACAAGCATTCCTTGGCCTCAGTGTTTGAAGAGAGTGTGGGGTGTTTACACGCAGAGTGTGGGGTGTTTACATGCAGAGATTGGGGTGTTTACACGCAGAGTGTGGGGTGTTTACACGTAGAATGTGGAATCACTGGTAAGTTCCCGTCTTTGGCTGCCTGACCCAGTGACAGGAACCTGCCCAAAACACAAACCCCTGGGATCCCTGTGTTTCCATCGTCTGCCCTGTCACACCCCTGCCCCCAACACCAATCGAAGGCATTGAATGCTAAATATCCATCTAGAGTAGTTTACTCTGGTCTGTTCCAAACTTTCTATACCATGAAGCAACGTTTAGACCGTCAATCACCGTTTCAGGGGCTGTGTCTCCCAGCGCCCCTGTCCCCCCACCCCCCACATGTGCCCAGTGCAACGGGATGAACCCACAAATCTCCTGTCACAACTTTAAGAGGCAGCCTCTCAAGGTCATAGAGGCCACCCGCCAGCCGGCAGGGAGCCCGTTTGCAGAGCCCTCCTCCCCGCGTGTCTGAGACGCAGACGGGAAACGAGGAGCCTGGACCCAGAACAGCTGCAGGTTCCGTCTGCCGGGCAGCTGGGCAGCAGGTGCACAGGTGACCTGCCCGGAGAGGGGACGACGTTGGCTCCCAGGACAGGAGCCCCGGACGGCCCTCAGGGTTGTGTCTGCTGGAGTTGCAGGTGGGCTGAGAGAGGCCAGCATCCGGGGACGTGTCAGACTAGAACACGGGCAGAGTGTCCAAATTTAGGTGGTCCCTGCGCCTTTGAGTAACAGGATGAGTCGTAACCATCACCATCCAAGCCTTTTGCAGAAGGAGCTTTGCCGGTACCCAGGGTGCACTGCTGCCCCCTGCTGGGCCTAGTGTTTCCCTTCCAGGGGTGACCCACAGGTGAACGTGACCTTGTGACTCCGAGGGAGTTTGTGGGGTGCGGTGGGGGGAGGGGAGCAGCAGGTGGGGCTCCGTCCGCTGTGGAGCTGAAGGGACAGCGTGGCTCTCACCTGGCTCTGCTTCGGGTCAGGAGACTTAGAAGCTTCCAGGTGATTTTGATCCCGGGAGACGCCTCTCTGGTGCCCCTCGTGGTGGGGCAGGGAGGTGCCGCGTCTGACCTGGACCCAGAGCCCGGTGGACGCGAGGACCTCGGAGGGGACCTTTTCCAGCCCTGTCTCCTCTTGCAGGTGAGACACGAGGCCCCGAGCGCGAAGGGGGTTCCCCAGGCTCACGCACGAGGTAGCTGGGTTGAGGGGCCTCAGCTGGGGCAGGGCTCAGGGGCGCGAGGGGACATTCAGGCCGTTGGCCTCAGCAAGGCTGGGAGGTGAGAATCGGCTGGTGACGGCCACACACAAGGTCCCGGGTGATTGTTGGCGCCACTGCCTAAGCCTGACAATCTGGAAACGCCTTCGAGCTGCGGACGTACAAGTTCCTCAAGCTGTTTCCAAACGGAAGTCACTTTATCTTCCGTTACCGTGTCTCAGGGAACGGGTTGATCAAGCCGGACAAACGGTCGTCTCTCTCCTTATCTGTGCCCAGCCCGTCTCAAGTCCTTCTCTTATGACTAAAACTCAGTGACAGACGTCGGCCGGCCGTGGGCCCAGCATCACCTGCAGGAGGCCAGCGTCTCACCTGGGCAGGCTTGTCCTGCCTCGTCCGAGTGGAATCCCGCCCACTTCCTTCCCCAGCCCTTCCCCCTGCAACCAGAATGCAGGTGTGTCCTCGTTTAGGTTTCCCCAGTTTGGTGCCAACCCAGGGCCTTCGGTATGGAGGTGAGCCCCGAGATGGGGCTGAGGTCGGAGCCGCTGTTCGCCAGGGTTTGAGCAGCCTGCAGGGCAGATGGGACGATTTGCGGGGCATCAGGGCAGGGGGCACAGGAGGAGGTGTGAGGCTTCAGTTTTGTCCCGTACCCACTGACAGCACCCCACACACGCCGGGGCCAACGTTGCCGGGCGTTTCCTTCCTGCTCAGTGGTTCACACACTCTTGCGTGGAGTCCTCAGAAACACCTGGGAATAGGTGTTACTGTGCCCATCACGCAGCTGGGAAAGCCGAGCGTTACCCGCTTATATGAACCTACTTTTTAAAATGTGAGTCTACCTGGGTCTAAATGGAGCCCCTGTGACCTCGGCTGTCCTGCTCCTTCCTGTGACTTTGGAGCAGTAAATGTGGTCTTTGCTCCTGGTTTATATCCTGGGAAGGTGGCTTCACCCTAAGGGGGTAAATCTGAGCTGACGTGACTTAACTGTGGGCGAGCATAGGCTGTGAGCCCAGTTCCTCGTTGGATTTGCTGGATCTGAGTCACCACCCTCGGGGCGCTGACCCTGAGTGGGGTTGGCAGGTGTCTGGGGTTCCCGCTAGCGCGCCCCCCGCTCTCTTAACTCCGCACGCGGCCGTTTCAATGCAGCGATTCTGAGGTTGAGAGAGAGGCGCTCTTGCACTTCCCGCCTGCGGCCAGCAGAGGCCGCTCTCTCACCGCGAATGTTTTTAGGGTGCGACGCAAACTCGAGGCTCCTTTTGACCCCAAATGATTGTCCTTATTCTCATTCTGCGTCTCTCCTTCCCTCCTTCCGCCCCCCGTCCCCCCCGCCTCTCTGCTCTG